TGAATTTTTACCTTAGGTAGTTATCCATGGCTTAGATTTCATTCTTTATAAACGTTTAGAGAGTTGTATGAGAGGGATATGAACATCAATTATGCCTTTATGAGACTCTAGTGTAAAAGGAGTCAAACATTATATTAGGATCAGGATTAGCATGTAATACACCTTTCTCCGTTCGCTTTCCTTTTACTCGGAAGACGATGGCTCGTTGATATATCCTCTTTTTTCAGGTCAACTCCTATCTTTCGACCGAGCTCCACTACAATTTCGTTCGTATCTTCCCGCGTGTCACTAGAAATCTCTGGAATACCCCGGATTTCCATGCAGTCTCGTCTCGAGTATTGTTCAAGTTCGTTAAATGATTCCTTTAAAGCTTTTAGCTGGTTTGTAGTATCCAGGGCTTACCCCTCAGACTCTTGATCTCATTAACCAGTTCTGTCATTCCTTTTTCGTAAGGTGATATTTTTGTTAGTAGTTGGTAATAATTAGAGTTCGCAGTGGCGATAGACCTCTTCACTTCATCAATCGATCTGCGAAGAGGCTCTAAAGCCTCCTCCAACAAATTCTTGAATTCTTCTGTCGTTAGACCTCCCATAATGGTACGTAAATAAATTAGGACAACATATAACGCGAAAAAATAAGAAAAAAGAGGAAAATGCAGCTTTGATAAGCTAAATTCACTGTAAATTTAATGAAGCTCAAAAATTACCGCCATCTTTCTCGCTGACCGCAAGGGTAGTGTGTAACACCAAAATAATAACAGATAAAGAACAGGAAATAAACTGAAATGTGTCTTCGTGGATTTGTAGACACTCAGGGTCAATTGTTCGTTCGAGGCTGGTTGCTTATTTGAGCATTACGCGTGAAAAAGAGTTTTTAATTTCTCGATGAGAGCCGGCCGTCGATTAAGCGTCAAAAAAATTTGTAGAAAATTTGGTTATACACAATATGTCGTTTATTTACGCATTTAGGATTCTTTAACCTAAGAGGAATGTATTGGGACCAAAAAAAGGGAGGATTTTGGCGTTAGTTGCCCTTTAGGCAACTCGCGCCGGATTTGCGGGCAAAGATATTGATATATTAAGCAGGAAACAAGATGTGTTGACAGCGAAGAAACTTCCTTTGTAACTGACTTTCGACTTCAAAATGATCAGCACGACAAACTTCATGTTTGGGGCAATTGTTGGAGAATTTAAGCAATGTCACTTGGAGAAAATTCAACTCAAATTAAGTAAGATTACCTCTAGTGGGTATCTTCCTTTGTTGTGTTTTAGCTAAAGAAGGAAAACCGTTTTGTTAATTTTAACTACAGAAAACAACAGTCCGACCCTTGTCTATTGTATATGGTAACTTTTAGTGATCTCAAAGGTAGAAAAGAATATAAATTATGCGTGAAAACACAACGACGCTGCGCGCGTCATACACAGGTTAAAACTATACGGAGGCACCTTAAAAGTTACATAACCTTATGCAATATTACCTAATGCAATATTATGGAAAAATGGAAAAATTGACCCGCGACAGTTTGCGCGTTACATAACCTTATGCAATATTACCTTATGCAATATTACCTTATGCAATATTACCTCATGCAATATTATGGAAAAATGGAAAAATCGACCGGCGACAGTTTGCGCGTTACATAAACTTATGCAATGTTACCTTATGCAATATTATAGAAAAATGGAAAAATGCACCCGCGATAAACAAAAGAAGCAATGAATTCGCGCCATTTGGTGGTTTACAATTTTCTTTTCTTTCGTCACAGGCGAAAAATTTGCTTGATACAAATTATGCATGAAAACACAACGCGGCTGCATTACATAACCTTAGTCAATATTATAGAAAAATGGAAAAATCGACCCGCGGCAGTTTGCGCCACAGGTAATTTAATTAGGAATGATACTTAACTTTTAACAATAATGACAAACAATCTTTTCGTGATTGGCACCATAGAAATGCTACGCAGGAACTCTATCAATCTGCTCAATTCGACCGTCTCTGACATTCACAATTTTTCTGTGGATCACAATATGAGACTAAACCCAATTAAATGTCAAGAGATGTTAATTAACTTTATGACATATCCTAACTTTACTCTAAGACCATTAGTTGTAGACAACAACGGTATAGAACGTGTATCGACTTACAAGATTCTAGGAGTATCTATCGATAGCGACCTTAAGTGGAATAGTAATGTTGAGTACTTATATAAAAAAGCTTGCAAGTTTTTAAGTTTTCATTGTATTATAACTCGTTAATTCAGTAAGTTACTACAAGAGCGTTTAATAAACTGTTATTATCATTATAATATTACCTATACAATATTACATTATGCAAGGTAGAATTACGTAACATTCGGCGGCATCTGG